TTTGTTTTGGATGATACATATGATTCATATGGTACACCAATGGAGCTTGAATGCTTTACAACACAAATCCAAAAGTGGAGTCTTGAAGCCATTGATGGAGTACCAGATTGTATGAAAAGTCTTTACATAGATCTCTTAAGTATTTTTGATGAGCTCAATGAGGAGTTGGCTAATGATGAACAAGCATATTACGATGGTGCTCTGTCTTATGTTATTGATGCGGTAACGTTAACTAATAATTACTCTCTCTCCTTGTCCTTTCTAATATGTGACGTTTTCTAACTAATAATTACTCATACCTGATATCTGTTATTAAAAATATGAAAACTCATACGTGCTACGCTCATCAAACAAGCCCTTACAAAAAACATTCTAACTTGTTCTAGATTATCGTCTTAATTATAATCATTAGAATAAAGAGTGTTAAAGAAATGTGTATGCACATTTAACCAGGTAAAAGAAATGTGTGGAGGATTCATGGTGTCTAATCGGACGTTACACGGACACCAAGTCCCAACCTTGGACGAATATTTGAACTATAGAAGAGTTACTGTCGGCGGCGGGATAATGGAAGCCACAGCATATTTGGGCATGCAAAAACATTCGAACCAAGAGTTCAATCCATTTCTGTGGCTTCAAACTAAACGCCAACTACACACCAATGTATTCAATATGTGCAGTATAGCAGATGATATTGCATCTAACTCGGTAAACTTCTTCATTCAATCCTTTCTACCCATTATAAACATAATTCCTTATGATGGAGATCTAGTAGATATTTTTCAGAGCTTAAAAATTGGATGGTCAAAATTATTTATAAATGATTTTAATTGATAAATAATTTGATGATGTGTTTCTCTCTGCCTATAAGTTGGCTAATTTATTATGTTAGAATAGTTAGACTCTATTCTTTTCCGTTAGAATTCGAAAGTTAGACGTTGAAAGAAACTCGAAGAAGTTGAAAGAAATTTGAAGGAGTAGTAAATATTATAAAAATAAAGTGTTAAAAAAACATTGAATTAAATGATTACCCAAATAATTAGATAAAGATATTTAGGATATAAAAACTAATTTTCTTTGTCCGTGTTTGAGCTATTATGCTATAAATTTGGATTTATAATGTTATTGTATAGTGATTATATGTAAATACATTTTTTAAGTCGTTGGAAAATGCTAAAAAAATTGGAAAAATTAAAGAAATCGAACAAATTTAAACGGAAGAAATACGCCATCAACTACTTATTTTTGAGTTAAAAATGCTTATAAGAATAAAGAAAATCCCTCTACAATACCCTATGTTAGAAGGTTTAATTAAGTAGTAATTTCATAGCTAACAATCTCTTTGTGTGAAATTGAAGTATGAGGAAAAGGCACTCCAAGTTCCCGTTATCTCAGCCATAGAATGTTACATGTGGCAACATGAATGCACACGAGACAAAGCAGTAAAGAACTTGGCGAAATTCTTTGAAGAGACATGGAAAGATATCAATGAGGAATGTATTAAATTAAGAATCGCAAAAGTTCCAAGACGATATGTGACGATTCTTGTGAATCACGTGCGCATAGGGGAAGCCTTCTACAAGGAAGGAGAAGGATTTAGACGACCAGATCTGTATATGGTTGATTACATGAATAAGTTATTCTTTGATGGTTTCTCGGTCACCATCAACTAGCAAGCAAAGCATACCATGGACTTTATAAGGTTATATATATATATATATATATATATATATATATATATATATATATATATATATATATATATATATATATAAAATTATGATTTCTTCTTTTCTTGTTGAGTGAAATTATAACATTTCTTCAAAGGTTTAATATTTATGTAATATAGTGTTTATTAAGTGACCAAAATTATATGCTCCTTCGAGGGTTTCTTTTTAGTTCTTTACCTCGATGCATTTCTTGAACCGACAGGGCAGGATTACGGCTAAAATTAAGGGTTTTCTATCTCCTATATATAAATATGTAAAATTTTGATTATTATCAATGAAGAATATAATAAAACTCTAATTTGTCCTCTTCTCTTTTCTTGGAATTTGAAAACGCTCAGGTTTTTCGCTCTTTGGTTTCCTTCTTTTTATAGTGCTTTGATAAGTCGGTTTTGGGTTAATTCTTTTTATTCTTTTTTAGGCATTTTTAATATTTTTAGAGTTTAATTTTTAGTTGTTTTGTGTTAGAGATAAAAGAAGGAAACAAGATTGAAGAAGGAAAGTGTTAGAGACAGAAGAAGGAAGCGGGATTGAAGAAGGAAACCAAATCCCTTTGTGATTAAGTTTAGTATCTTTCCTAGTTGGATTAGATTTAGTATTTAATATCTTTCCTAGTTTGTTTAATTCTTATTTTAGTAGGAATATGAATTTCCTTATTTACTTTAATTTACCCTCTTCCTATATAAAGATGGTTAGATCTTTGTATTCAAGACAAGAGTTTTACAAGAGAGAAATACAGAGAATTTTCTCCCAAATAATTCTTTCATTTTGCTTAGTTTTATTTTTATTCCAATTCTTACAATCTTTTATTTTCTTTCATAAATAGTAGTTTTCTTAATCATTTTTTTACATTCTATTATTTTTATTTTTCCTAACAAAAAATTATCAGATATCTTATTCTTTTGGAGAAAAGTATAGCAAAAGGCCAAAACGAAGTTCAAGTTTAAAAGGAAGAGATTGAATTTGGGCCGAAGCCCAAACCCAACAAGCAAGCCCAAACTCTCCCTCTCCCTCCTTAGTTTCACGCAAGAATGAAAAGAGATGTCAGCGGCTCCTTCTTCTTCGACTTCTTCTTCAACGGTGATGGAAGACCCGCTCCAAATCAAAGCTCCAACGTTCGGCCTAAAATCTCGCCCCTCATTCAAGTCTCCAACGGATAAATAATTCTTGCTATAAATTGGCGATGAGTCGAAGCTCCAAGGAGGGGGAAACACACGAGAATAAAGCAGCGGCTTGGCCACTGCTATGGTGGTCGTCGGCGGTGGTGGCAGGCGGCGCGACGAACGGCCGGCAGACGCGTAGCAGCTCCAGTTCCGGTGGGCAGCCTCCATCACAGCTCTAGTTTACTCAACTTGTTCATCTTCTTCAACAATTGGTAACTCTTAATTGTCAATTTCTTTTCTTCTTCTCCAATTTCTTTGTAAAAGTTTGTTTTTGATTCAATTTGCATTCTTTTCCCTTGTTGTTTTAATTTTGAAAATTCTAAAAACATGGTTGGTGTTCTTCTTTTTGGGTTTTTTTTAAATGTCTATATTAAATCCCTTATGAATGAGAATTAATTCATACTAGTTTTTCATCAATTATTGAGCAAGTTGTTGTTGAATTGGTTGAATTGTATAATTTGATTTCATAAGTAGGTTGGTATGTGGAATTCGGTTTTTGTTGAAGCTATTTTAGCTCCATAAGGTAGTTAAATGAACTCTGAATTCATACGTGATTCTTTATCGTGCCTTGTGTTCGTTGATTTTAAGGATTTTGGACTTCTTAGCCTTATAAGTTGATTCATTTTTCTTAGAATTCGTTATTGAGTGATTGTGTGTTTTCTCGTATGTTTGTTCGTTATTTTCATAAAATTAAGGTTGTTTAAGCTCAAAAACAATTCTCGATTTATTGAAAATATGTTGTGTTCATCTACGTGAATAGAAAAAACGTCATTGATTTGAGAAGTTCATAGAAATCTGTGAAATGTGCTCATCATTAGGAGAAAAGGTTTATTAAAATGCATAAGGTATTAGCGGTTTGTGAATAGATTATGCATGAGAGTTAGAATGAAAAAAAAAATCGCTCTTTTATAAACTTTTTCTATAATGGAAGTATGTTTTCATGCTTGATTGGTGAGTTGTGGTTCTTGATTTGCCTCATTATGAAATTTTTGAATTACATGACTCCGGGCCGTGTGGAGAGTTGACAATCCTCCATATCGTGGTTAAGGAAATGAATCGACTCGGCCTTTGATTATTTTTTTCTATTCTTAAGTGCGTAAGTTACGTAATATATTGTCTACGTGCCTATTATACGTGTAATGTTCGGCTTGTGTTTGTTCTCTTTTTCATTTTGTTTCGGGTTTTTGGCGGTGTTTCTTGAGTTACTTTTGTTGGAGGAGTTGATTATCTTTAGAACTTGTTTTCCCCCATTTTATCAAAAAAAACCAAAAAAATAAGAAAATACATAAAAACCAAAAATATTTACTTTTCATTCAAACCCCCCTTTGTGTTGTGTTTAAGTTATATTATAAGTTCTCTGTTTATATAAGTTATATTTATAAGTTTTTATATTTATTTAGTTATAAGTTTTATTATAAGTTTTATCATTTGTATAATACTTAGTTTTATTTTTATATTTATTTTCGTGACAACGTATTCGCATACTAAAATGATTTTTAAAAAAATACAAATTTATTCCGTGGGATCGACCCTTACTTGCCCTAGCTATAATTTTTATTTGATTATATTGGAGGTTAACTAAGGATATTTTATAAATTTTTAATTTGTTTTGGACCGCACGACAAGTCCCAAACGTGCTTGAAAACGTTCAAAGTTCTTCTTTATCACATATCGTAATCGTATGAGAAGCTCTCTCACAGATATATAGGATTTCTATCCTATCATGAATTCGGTTATTTGCACTTAAAATATATATGGATGAATCAATAAAGATGATATTTGTCCCAAACCCTGAGTTTCTCTTCATCCATCTCATATCTCTAAAATTCTTCTTTCCCAATTTTTCAAACCTACTTGGTCTTAGAGTTGAAAATACTCAAAGTTTTCTCTAATCTATGAACCCATATCAATTGATGATTTCATTATTTTCAAACTAATAATTCAGTTAAAAAGTTACCAACCAAAAGATAACCACTAGCTTCACTGTTGATTGGGCCACTCACATCAGTGTATGAGGCCCAATACATCACTCGCCCTTTCACCGTGGCTGGTACGGTGAATGGAGCCTTTGTCATTCTACCGAGTAAGAAAGATTGGCATACATTCTAAGACTTGAGGTCAAACAAACCAAGTACACTAAAATGGTTTAACTTAGATATGTGTTTCTCATCATTAGGAAATAGACCATCACCGTCGTCTTGGTCATTCGTTTGATTTGTAAACTCATTTAATTCGTCCAAACAATCGAGGTAAGTATGTGGACCTCTAACGCTATATTATGTTTACTAGTATCACACCCGTGCGTTGCACGGGCCATATTTAAGTTACTAAATTATATAAACATCATTTTTGAATGTTACAAATTAGTATATAATAGAATATAGAGATTTCATTATTTTAAGCTACAAAAGTTAAATGATTTACAATATTTGAAAGATTAATTACTTTATAATTCAAATTACTCGTATAAATTTATGAAAATACTGTCTTGGTTGCACATCAGAATCTTCAAGTCATTATAGTTTATTACTCTTGAAATTACAATATACAATTGTCCATGACTAAAATATAAATAATATTAATCAAAATTCCAGTTAAAAAATTTGTTCAGAGTTAATTGTGTTGTTTTTCTTTTTGAGGAAAGATAGAAGTGTTTTATGGAATGCAAAAAAATAAAACAGGAACATTATCTTTTAGAGATGAAGGCTGTATATAAAATCCACATATTTGAGATTAACGTTAGAAATTAGCATTAGTGTATTGGATAAAACTTTAATGGTACATATTGACTTTGAAAACGCTAAAACTAAACGTTAAGCGTAGATAGTCTTTTCAAAACGCTAACGCTAATCAATAACATTATTCCCAAACATACCTTATATGAACATAATATAATAAGAATTTAAAAGCTCAAAACCCATATCAAAGATGGTAATTGCAAAAATAGTTTGAGAATATGCATATTTATAGTAGGAAAAATTTATAAACATATCTCCTTTCCCCTCCACTCTTTTCATTCTTATTAAAAAATATTAAAGTAAAAAATAATAATGTATTTAAATAAAAAATAGAAACAGTTTTAATGATCATATGAAAACAATATTTTTTCTAAATTAATAAAAATAGAAACAGTTTCTATATTTTTTCTTAATTAATAGAAACGAAAATTGTTGCAGCAACACTTACAATTAATTAAGAAACGTGTTCCTCTTTCCCCTCTATTAATTTGGTTATTATTAAAAAAGCATATTTAAATATATATGGAAACTTTTTTAATGTTCATTCGAAAACAGTAAATTTTTAATAAAAATGGAAACATATTCCCCTTTATCATTAATTATTAATTAATAGAATCCAAAATTATCATAGCAATACTTACCATTAACTGCGTAGCATTTAAATAAAAATAGAAACATATTCACCTTTTTTAATTACTATTTTTGGTGTAATTTAAACAAAACATATTAATGTGTTTAAATAAAAATAAAAACATGTTTAGTGCTCATACGAAAACATAATTTTTTTAATAAAAATAGAAACATATTCCCATTTATCACTTATCATTAATTGGAATATCATTTAAATAAAAATGGAAACATATTCTCCTTTCTACCTTATTATTTCGTTGTTATTAAAAACATATTGATGTATTTAAATAAAAATAGAAACATTTTTAATGCTCATACGAAATTCTCCATTACCATAAACAATTAATTAATTACTATGTATTAGTTAGTATTTCTACGAATTTCCCCATTTTTAATATTTATAAAAAGTTCCCCTTAACATATTTCATTTACCCTTAATTATGGAGTATTAATTAATGATTACTAAATTTAATGCATACACATACATATAATGAGTAAGACGCACAACATTTCCATATATTACTCTTACATTTGGGCGGGAAAAATTCACCTCTTTTTAAATATAGTATAAATAAATTAAATATAATATAGATAGTATAGATTTGAAGTAAAAATAGAAACATAGTACCGTGTTAATTATACTTTGGGTAGTGCTAGAGTCACAAATAATTTGAACACAAATTATACAAACTTAGCATTTGTGTATTTAAATTTTTATATTTTGATTACTTAAAATCAATTTATTTACCTAGAAAAGTGCGCAAATAATAAATTTGTGTAGTTTGTGTCCAAATTGTTTGTATCTCTAACACTACTCTTATACTTTTTATAATGTCACTGTACCATAAATAGTGTACATTTTATAACACGGTATTAATAATTTTAAGGAATCAAATTACCTTACCATTAAATAATAATTAATAATTAAGAACTAATAACCAAAACCGTATTTATGTATGGTAATAGTTAATAGTAAGGGATGGTAATAATTTTAAGTTATGGTAATAATTAATAGTAAAGTACTAAAGTAATTTCTTACATGTTTGTTTTACTTACCAAAATAGTAAGGTAATCTCATACGTGTTTGTATTAATAAATAATAATTATAATTACCTTTTACACGCCATTATTACATCTATCACTTACCTTTTCCTGTTTAGCACTTACCTTTTGTGAGCGTAGACCACTTGGGCGAGAAAATACAATGCAGAATTCACTTCTTTTTAAATAAAGTATAGATAGGTTTGAAATTCACATTCATAGTTTCGTATGATTGATTATGTGATTTGTTTGGTTCTATCGTTAATTACGTTTTATTAACATTATATGTTAGTATTGCAATTGATTGAACGGGGACGACCAGCTACGTTTTCTTACTTTAAAATTGTGTGATATGCATCATAACAATCTTTGAAAACATTATACATATTGAATGGTTTGGAATTGGATCAAACTCTGTTATTTTTGTATTTTCCCGATGTCAAACGGTAGCTAGGTATCGCCTCACGGCACCCTGCTACCGACACAAACCATCGCGAGCGTTTGGCTCTGTTGGTACTTGCTCCCAGACAGTAGGGGATACTGGACCGACGGTACCAAGGTACCATGACAAACAACTTCAGCCTGCTTCTTCACTTGTTTTTTCTGATTTGAATCCCATATTGATTCCATGGTCTTGTGTGCTACATGATGGTAAGTGAACGGTGTTTGCACCCGAAACTAGGCCGCTAATTGTGGAGAGGGGAGAGGAACGAAGTCCTTAGAGATTTCGTTTCACTATGTGAAACTCATTCAACCAACGGGGGAGGAATCTATGTACCTCTTCGTACCTTACAGTCGAGCTGAATTTAACTACATCAAAAGTTCTACAAAACAAGAGGTGACAAGACTATATTATTTTATCAAATAACTAACAAAAATAGGCAAAGAAGGTGATTAAATTTTGACAAGCTAGGTAAATAGTAATGGAGAAGAACGCTTTTGAACAGAAGGGGCGTATTATTGTTTCCCATATCCTTACATTTTTTAGGGTGGCTAGGCAGCTGGAACGGGCCAACCCTTATTTGAACTGGTCTAGTATCACACTAGTTCTATTCTACTAGTGTCATTATTATTAGGTGCTACTTGGACCTACCTCGGGTCAATTCATGCCGCTCGACCCAACCCTCGAGTTAGTCCATGTTGCTCAACCTAACCCTCATATATGTTAGTTCATGCTACTCTGTCTCATGCCCTCAGTTCAGCTCAGCACTAGCTAGGGTCGATCCATACTTCTCGTCACATTAAAAGCATACTAATTAATGACCAAAACTGTTAGTAGATCCCATTAATAATGAAGCTAAAAGTATATGCTTTGAAAGCATACCTTAAACTTTTTCTTTCTAGATTTTGGGACGAAGTACCTTTTTTAATTGACACATAGTTGTTGATTTGATTTGTGTATGCAAATCTATCTATCATCAGATGTATTTTAAAGAAACCTTATCAAGTGATTCAAGGGGATTACTAAGCTTATATGAAGCTATGTTTTTAAGCCATCCCAACGGAGACATACTTGATGAAGCCCTTCATTTCAGCACGCTTCATCTGAAGTCTTTATTAGAGTCGCCATCGGCACCACCACATCTTAGAATCCATAGAGCCAATGCCTTGAGAATTCCCCTCCACAAAGAAATCCCAAGATATGGGGTTCACCAATTCATTACCTTTAATGAACGAGAGCCCCCTTTCTCAAACAAGGATGGCGAAGAAGAAGAAAAAGAAATGTTGCTACAATTTGCAAAGATGGATTACAATAAGCTACAAGATCTTTACCGACGAGAGATTTGTGAATGCATGAGGCAAGTTTAATTCATCCCTACTAATCATTGTCATCACTCATTTGTTTATTAACAAAAAATTAAGGTTTTTACGTGCTTTTAATTGAATTAATATAAGGATAATTTACTTAAATAGCATTAAAAAATACTCCGTATAATGACTTTCCCTAAATAGTATCATATGTTTTTTTCCTATGCAGCACTTTTAGTCATTATTCAAGTAATGTTCGCCATCACTAAACATTATTCCTCCTTCTAGACATTATTAAGTGCTATGTAGGTAATAAAACAATTTAAGTGCATGCTATTTAGAGAAATGTCTTAAGTTTAAGTGCTATTTAGTGCAAATATTTCTTATATAATTGGTTTCTTGACATAAAATATACGGATCGGTGACTTATTTTGAATGATATTTTTCTTGTAGATGGTGGGAAGAATATGTACCTAAATATCCTTATGTGAGAAACAGATTGGTGGAAATGTATGTGTTCGCACTCGTTGATTACTACGAACCCTATTATTCACATGCTCGCATGATAACCACCAAGCTTTTCATGATTTTATTCGTTTTGGATGATACATATGATTCATACGGTACACCAATGGAGCTTGAATGCTTTACAAGTCAAATCCAAAGGTTAGTTTCCATTCATGCCATGTTTACATGATGGATATTAAAATTAGTATATGTTTAAAATTAGCATACTCATAATGCTTTACATTATGAGTATATGTTTGCATTTAATAAAATCAGTTTTTTCTTTGTATTCATCAATTCTACAATACCTGTTTTAGTTTAAGTGAAAATAGATGCACCCCTAGAGAAATGCGAATGCATAATAATCATTAAAATTTTAACAAAAATATATAAGTGAAATGTTAAGAAAAAATGAAAACAAGTTGTTGTATATTACACTATAGTAAACTCATACGTGCTCATTTACATTCTCAAGTTTGTAATATTGTTATAAAGTTATATACGGAGTATTATTTAATATAATTTTTTTATTTTAAATTTTTAATAATGTACGGAGTATATGGCAAGTTGATATAATTTTTTTGACTATTAGATATATAAAAATATTTTTAGTATGTGTAGATTAATAAGAAATTAAAAATAACTAAATCTTGGTAATGGAAAAAAAAATTAAATGATGAAAAATAAGTTTTGATTTAGTCTCTCCGTCCCTTAAACTCCTTTCCCTTTCTTTTTTTATTGTCTCACTAACTCCTTCCCTTATTATCTATTAGAAAATCACTCTTACCCCTTACTTTTTCATACCCTACCTATCACATCATACCTTTTTATTAATAATCTATCTATCACATCTTATTTTTACTCATGGCATTAAAGATATCTTTGGAAAGACAACACCAAAATATCCCTCCCTTAATTTTCCAAAATGTCAATAAGGGAAGGACTTTAACGGACGGAGGAGTATATATCAAGGTGTGTGTCTACACACACACATAGAGAGAGAGAGAGAGAAACGTCATTGATTATTTAATGATTGATTTTGAAGGTGGAGCGCTAACGCCATTGATGGAGTACCAAATTCTATGAAAAGTCTTTACAAAGATCTCTTAAGTATTTTTGATGAACTCAATGAGGAGTTGACTAATGAAGACAACAACATTGATGCTCTCTCATATGTTATTGATGCGGTAACGTTAACTAATTTTTCTCTCCCTCCTTTCTAATAAGTGAACTTTTAAAGAAGTTAAATTATACGGAGTATATGTTATTGTGAGGTCACCATTGCCGTTACGTTGAACGTCGATTGAACGGCCAATATGATGGACTTAATCCTTCACCGTGACAATACCAAGTATAATAATTTTCAACAAAATATTCTGTGTAGATGCCAACGCAAATCATCCTCTGTGACAAAGCTCATATTTTTACATTTGCTACAAGGACATCGAATTTTCTCTCCGTCAAGAAATTGTGTTTGAGCAGATGCGAATGTAATAAATTCTTCTACACCATCAAGAAATTCACGTGTCAAATCACGTTTAATCAAAGCATTTTTGTTGTACATCCAACTTCTTGCTGATATTTACATAGTACCTGAAACACAAATGCCAAAAATCACATAAATTATAAATATATGGAGAAATATATACCAATCAATAGTAAAATAATTTTGGAATAGGGAATAACTAATTCATCTGAATTCTAATTTCAAAATGTTTAGGGATGTCAAGTACGCGCGACCTTAGGCACGGCGTAGTTGTGCCAAAATCTAATTACTCAAAATCACATGTCACAGTGTCACCTCATGTCAGCCACTCCACTTTTGGCACGACCGTTGGCACGGACTAGGCGTGCCAACAACCAATTTTTTTAAAAAAACACTACTCAAGTATTTTTATTATTAAAAAATACTTCGGAAAAATTGATTTCTTATTTTTACCATAAATTATGGAAACAATATATTACTCCTCTGTTCAAAAATTAATTTCTTATTTTTACCATAAATTATGGAAACAATATATTACATTAGCATATAAACTTCATTTCAATATACTTATTTTGAAATGTATGTTTGATATATTATATTTTAGAATATATATCTATACATAAATAGAGAAATATTAACGATTAAAGTTTTGCATTTAAATATTTAAAAAGTCAAATAGAAAGAATTTTTTGGAGGGAGAGAGTAAAATCTATACAAATGCATATTAAAATTAATAAATAACTACTTTATTTTTTAATATATAAAACTTGATAGTAAGAATACTTACCGGAAGGATATAATCAAATTGAAACACCGGAAAAATATTTACAGGAACACCAAATATAAAGAGTATTTTGTTGTCTTGTATTTCATAAAAATAATGCATATAATATTTTTTCTGTTAACATATTTATAACAGAATACAAGACTGATGTTCTTATATAGGGATTTCCGAACCAAGTTTTTTGGCACACATTGTAGGCACGAAACTGATTATAAAAGTGAAAACATCTATTGGCATTCATTAGGCACGGCTATTTGGCATGAAATATCCGTGGCTGGAATTAGGCACGGCATTTGGCACATCTTCGTCCCGACCAGTTATTAAAAATTAACGTTGCCCGACAGAATGGAAACGGCGTAAAGGTTGTGAACTTGGCACGGCCCTTAGGCACGGAAATGACAGTGCCAAATACGGACCCGTTTAGTGTTTCGCCATGTGGCATTTGATCTCCATCGGCAAAGGCACGCCGCAATCCGTGCCTGATGCACGGTTTTTTGGTAGTGTTGTACCTTAGTTAATTACTTTATAGTAGAAAGTTTTACTAAGAATTCAGAGTTATATATGGAGTAACAATCTCATTGTCTAAAATTCAAGTATGAGGACAAGGCACTTCAAGTTCCCGTTATATCAGCCATAGAATGTTACATGAAGCAGTACGAATGCACACGAGACGAAGCGGTCAAGAACTTGAAGAAAATTTGCGAAGAAACATGGAAGGATATTAATAAGGAATGCACGAAATTGAGAATCGCAAAAGTTCCAAGGCGATATGTGAGGGTTCTCGTGAATCATGCACGCACGGCGGAAGCCTTCTTCAAGGATGGAGAAGGAGTTAGACGACCAGATCTATATATGAATGATTATATGAACAAGTTGTTCTTTGATCGATTCTAAATATATAGCAAGAAAAGCACTTGTTTCATTCACTTCAATAATGTGTGATATTAGTTACTAGTAAGGTTGTGTTGTTGTTTCAATTACTTTGTGTGCTAATAAGGATAATGTTACATGAAGTAATTATATTAGAGTTTATTTCAAGTAAGAAAATTGAAAAGAATATATGAGGTTTATAAAGTCTTGACTTGAACTGTTATATCGATTGTATTAAACTTTTTAATTTGATTCACTCAAATGTCTTATGGCCTAGTCTAATGAGCCCAACCTATCCAAAAATTCTACTCCCTCCAACCTCCATTCCACAAAACATTTCTTATTTCGAATTTTAAGCAAGTTAAGAAGAGTTTATTTTGGTGTTGACTTTTCCAAAATGTCCTTGGGTGTGATAGGTAAAAGTAGATGTGATGGGTAGATTAGTAGCGAAAAATGTGATAGGTAGGTTAAGAATTAGTAGGGGTAAAAGTGACTTTTTAATAAAATTGAGAAAAGCTTTTTGGGACAGATGAAAAAAGAAAAGAGAAAGGTTTTGTGGGACGAAGAGTATCTGATTACTTACTATTCTCTCCGTTTCTCAAAATCCTTTCTTTTCCATTTTACATTTTGAACAAAAGACTTCAATTTTTGAATAAAATGTCTAATATATCCAAATAAAGTCATTACAATATATTACATCCATTTTGTATTAACAAAATAAGCCTATTATGTGATTTGTGGCTCTCTTTTTTTCAACTCTAATGATATAAATGGAAGGTCAAATTACAAACAAAAAAAACTATCAAAAGTTAATATACCAATTGTTTTCTAAAACCGATGGAGTATAAGACATGATTCAGTAGTGAGATTAAATGAGATCATTTCTCTACTATTTGCTTGAATGGGTTCTATTATAAGGGCATGAATGTTAGCTCTTATGTATGCAATTATGTAGTAACTTTGTTTATTCTTCATTTCAATCTCTTCTTTGTTCATTTTTGCCTAACTCAGCTAGCAGCAAATGGTTGGCATATCTAAAGGTACATATAGAGGTTGTCTTCATATTTTTGGAAGCTTGTTGGATTGGTTTGGTAGAAAAGCTCATTTCTATTTGAAGAACTTCAGATTTTTTTGTTTTGAGGGAATACTTTGACACAATGTATCTCACAAATTTGGCATCTTCAACGCGAAAGTGTTTAATAGGTGAGCAGTTGTGTTGACACTAAGCTACGGTGTCAGTGCAATACCACTGAGCTACGCTGTTCGCAATGTTGATGGTTCATATCCCCCACCCCCCCTCCTCACGCTAAAATTCTACCCCGGCCTGACCCTAACCCATATCCTCAACCCCTTCATATTCTTCTACCAATTTTTGTTGACTTTGAAGTCATAATCATAAATTTTAAATTTATAAAATTGTAGTTTGGCCTCATCAAGTGACCTATAGGTCACCTGGAAGCTTGTTATTGGATTTTTAGTGATGGAAACTTGCAAGTTCGTGTATTTTTGTAAGAGGATTTGAAGTTCGTATTACGAAGTGAAACTACACAAAGTTTGTATACCATTTATGAAATTTACTCACTGATTTCATACCGAACTAGTAATCTTTTACTTTCCCTGTCATAAATTACCTGCCAGAAAATACCACATAAACAATGCCACATGTCGACTTCCTAGAAATTAGAGTTATTTTTATTTAAAAAGGATAAAGGATTAGAGGTGGGCACGGTCCGGTCCTAGTTCCTTCCACCCCCACACCGCCACCAGTGCCAGAGGACGCTCGTACCCGGACCGGTTCCCATGACTGCCTCCGGTCGGCGATCCTCCTCCCCCGCCGGTTACGATACCCGGAAATTCGGAACCACCAGTCCCGGTCCGGTGCCCGGACAGTTCTAGGACCGTGTCCAACTCTATAAAGAATAAAAGATTTACAATGTTCAAACAGGTTAGATTATTTCAGTTGAGTTTAAAAGACAAATATACCCTACCCACAACAAAGCTAGTGTAATTCTACCTCCACAAGTGGAGTTCTTGCATGATAGGATGTGCACAGGTCTTGCATCTGCCTTGTAGGCTGAAAATCTACCATACTTCAATTAAAGGAAAGTATTTGTATTATGTTTTTACATTATACATTAGTACATTACATACCCCTGTAAAAAAAATAAACAAAATTAACTTAATTTTCTTTTGCCAACAGAACTCAGCTAAACTATGGTTGGACTTGAAAAGAAGGATCTAATGAATCCTACGAGAAACGAAAAACACTTCACATATCCGTCAAGATTAAGGATGACACAACCACAACATAAGCAAGAAAGAAGAAAATGACGATCTGGAGGAAGAACTTTGGATTGTCCCTCATATTCGGAGATGTTACAGCCCTGAAATAACAACACAATTGAAACAGTTGGATTCTGTCAAAATAATGTCTCGAAAGCAAAATGAGAATTAAGTATTTTTGTGGTTGTTGGAATTTTGGTGGGCCGAATGAATCGGGTGGAGTGTTGGGTGAGATTTGACCACTTTCCCATATAAAGTCCGGATCCACTTTCTATCCAAAAGCTTAAGTCAATGGATAGGCAATGGTAATATTCATCCGATGTGGGACAATTGCCCAACATACGGTCCCAAGAGCGGTGGCCCCAAGAGAAAGTTACCTTGCAATGCGTTGGGAAAGCCGATGAAATGGAAGGCTTTGAATGAACACCATGCCCGGTCCTGTTAGAACTGCGGTTACAAGATTATCACCCTGCAATTTTGGCAACCAAACATGGAGAAGACATATACTTGGTTCAGTCAGTTCACGCGCACATATTGGCAATGTATGAAGAAGAATGCACATCCAGGCAAATTTTAAGTGAGTGACTGTGTGTATGTGTGTGTGAGAGAGAGAGAGCCATAGAATTAAATACCAAACAAGGAGGTAAGAAATTTCAAAGATGAAGGTAAGCGCGGTGCATCCAGTTGTTAATAAGTTGTTTGGATCAACAGTTTGGGTATTTTTATGTTTAGCTGTTTAGGTCACAAGTGTTTGGTAAGATGAGTTTTCTTTCAGCTATTAGAGATGTTTATGTAAAAGAATGCGACCAAAAACTGAAAAAAGGTCAGACATGGAAAAGCTTTAAAACAAGCTTATTTAAATCAGATTTTAATGACAAAAAAACTCTCCCAATAAGCTTGTTGCAAAACAACCTCAAAAGGAAAAAAAATACTACTAATATACAAACAACAACAACCGAGTTGTATCCCACGAAAGTAGGGTCTGGGGAGGGTGTGTATACGCGGACCTTGCCCCTACTCGAAAGTAGGGAGGTTGTTTCCAAGACACCCCAAGCTCAATACTACTAACATAGAACTCTGTAATTTATAGCGTACCCCAAACACTACTCTTCTCATGGGCCCATTGTACTTGATTTGGACATTTACAGTTGATGAGATTGCAACAATGCTTGAAATATCAACGGAAAGTACCTCGCCAACATTAAGATTTTTCTGCACAACTAAAAGCAAAGGAAAAAAGGCCGGAAGAAGTGAATGAGAATATGCATGTAATGTGAAATGTAGTGCAAAATCTTTGCATACAACCGTCCTGAAAACCAGTATGCTCTTAGTTAGTTTTTGGCTCTTTTCTCTAATAAAAATAGAAATAAGAGTACACATAGTCCTCTTTTAAGAATTCTTCTCAGAAATAGCCTCTACTCCATTGGAGTAAAAGTAAGGTCTGCTGCTGGCTTCATTCGTGAACAACACTAGTGACTAGAGTTAGCATTTCGGATAATATTTTTTATTGGTGTAGATTAACTTTAAAAAATGACTAGTTGTCACTGGATAGCATTATCAAAACGCTAGGAGCTAATTCCAAACGGACCCTACATGCCCCCCCACCCCACCCCACCCCCCATAGAGAATTCTAGAAGCTTATCGCTCATCGGTGGGATAAAAGATGCACAAGCATACCAGAACCTCCACCAACTATAAAAGCAAGCCCTTGGCCTGATATTCTCTGCCTCAAAAATCCCTGTAAATGTCAAAGGTGCACAAACAAAAATGTCATCATTGGTCACTTTTGTTTGATCCCAAAAAAGAGGGGAAAGACAAGATATATTCCATTATCTCACCTCTGCACTAGGAACCATGTTGCGGGCTCTTTGGTCAATTGTACTGTTGACTTTCACATCATTTATTGAGCAAAGGAATGCATCTGGCTACAAAAAAATACCAGCACGGTTATATTTTATTTGATTGTTGCATAGCCCATCAAGTAAAAAAGAAACATATCGGTTTATTGGATGGGCAGAATGTGAAAAAGGATGAAAAAGAGAAGTCCTCAACATCCTTTACCTGGCACAATATTTCACCACCAAACTTTGCTAAATCAATCTGCCAAATAAACAAAAAAGAAGCATAAAAGGAGAGAAGAATTAATCTCTGTTTGACAACTACCAATCACTTGTTTGGGTAGATGTTTGTGTCAACTGTTTAGAGGGGAAGATATTTGGTTGGATGAGTGGTTTGTATCTGTTGTTTAGGATTTTAGAAAAAAGGTTCAGACCCAAAAAAAGTCGTCACTAAGCATAAAACATGCTTCTTGTAAACCCACTTTTTGGAACTTAAAAGCTCTCCAAAAAGTGGATTACCACTCTTCTAAAAGTTGTTCGAAAAAATCCAAACAGTTCATTTTTTGTTGAAACAAAGCATCCGGATAAGCTTGTTGCCAAACACCCCCTTAGTATTATTATCAGGACAGTAGAACTAAGTTGAGATACTGATACAGTGATACTCACTGGAAGGACTCTTGCTAGAGAAGGTACAGCAATGCCCACAAATCCGTCAGTTGAACCAGTGTTATGAAGAACTATGCTCGTCACACTCTTTCCGAAGAGCCATTGTGTCATCCCAGCTTCATTTTCAGGGACGTATATGTTTTCCATTTGGATGGAACCAGACATGTAGCACATGGAACCTGAAACTCATAAATAGTAACCATTTTGGAACATTTTTGGAATAGAAACTAACACATGCAACGAGAAGGCAGAAGCCATCTTATTGATATCTGAACATGGCAAACACTGCCTTACTGAAATGATATTACACACGCACTGCAACATTAAACTATTAAAGGCGATCTTCTCACATCATCAAGCTTCTGTTTTCCCAAATTAGATGTCAAATATAAAAAATAAAAAAAATAGATGTCAACTGTAGTGATGGCTAGTATGTGCAATCTATGAGACTTAACAAATTTTAAGCATGTCATGATTGTCATCAAATACAAGTTTAATTTGAACGCCACAGTTTCGGGATGCAGCATAATTTAAATTTAACATATTTACCAATGTATACCACTAAATATAATAAAATCGCTTGAAATTTCAAGCATTTCAAAACCTCTACATCTGAGCTACAGTACTTTGCAAGGTCATAGAATGTTATCAGCAACTAACCAGGTTTGGCCATAATCTTTTCCTGCGGCTTCAACATTATCTGAAATGTGGGATTGGAAATGGATAAAGAATCAACCACTTAGACTATATAGATAGGAATTTCCTACTACGAGGGAAAACAACAAGACTCATAAATACCTGAACTATCTGAGCTTCACCTCCCAGAATTTGAAAAGGCGTTACAGCCTCCTGTGGACTCTACAATAGTACAAGTGTGGATTCTCAAGCAATTTGTTTGGAGCAGTATGAAAGTATAGAGTTAATATACCAAAGTTTGCTGCTTTACTTTCTAACCATATTTGTAGAAAAAATTAATCTTTTAAATATTAGAAGCAATGAGGATCAATGTAAGACAGATCTAATTCCAAAATTTAACAAATTTTATACTTTTGACTTTTGGACAAATGTATGGTCGAATGTGAGGTTACAAGTGGAAAATGGATGTACTTTGGTGGGTAACAAGTGTAAGCAATGAGTGACTGAAAAATACAAGATATATTGGATAAGTACAAGTGAGCATTTAGACTGACAAATTGCATCATTAAAAATTCCATTGTGAGGACTATACCCTAAAATTCCAAAACCCAATTATGTAAGCCCTTTAATGCCTGACTTTAAATGCTAAACTGACTAAAGGTTTAGGGAGTGTTTGGTTCAGGTAATCTGAGATTACCCTGGTCATGTGAAATTAACTTGTTTGGTTTATGTTTTCATATTAACATATGAATCTCACATTACTGCCATGTAAAAAACTAAGGTAATATTTGTGTATGCTTGGCTGCGCTGAGTTTCTTAGGTATTAGTAGATTACTTTTAAATATTCCGAAAAAATCCCTTAAAATATGTTTTTTTGTATTTCCTTGGGAAGATATTAATATTACATCATCAAAATTCATGATTCCAACCAAACACATTCGGTAATCTTACATCCCATAATCTCGCATCCTGTAATCTCACACTACCTTCCCAGATCCTCTTCCCTAAGGTAAACCAAAACCCCCATTAGATGCATGTTTTTCAGAACATAAATACATAGTGTATACATGTGAGTCAAGGGTTATCTTTGTCAAGAGACAAGATGGACTAGAAAGTTTCACTAGAAGCAGATCCTGAGCTCACAAGCACTCCACATTTAAAAAAAAAAAAACCCCTTTTTGCCCAAATTTCCCAAACAACCTTATTTTACAAGTTACTCATAAAATATCATGACAGGTATACCATGTAACAAACTATGTGAAGATCAAATAACTTCAAGAACCATATCAAGCCATCTTATTTAACTTAATTCCAATATGAAAATCTACTAATATTACTCCCTACTACTACTACTACTACAAACCCAGCAGAATCCCACTATGTGCGGTCTAGGGAGAGTGTGCATAAAAGTATTTAGGATAATATCACTCCCAATCCCAAAAAAACAAGTCGTATAACGACTTTTTTTCAAAAGAAGTCTACTATTTAAGCAAAGACTATAACTTTCATTATATCTAACGTCTTTTGGTTATATACTAGTATGTTAAAATAAGTTAAACCAACAAATTCATTAACAATACAACTACAAATGTCGTACCTTACTAAAATCAAGTAATCAATTAAAAAATGAGTTTTTTTCATGCGACCGAGGGAGTACAATCTAAGAATTCAAAATATAAACCTAAATTCATACATTTAACTGAAAATTCATGCGATTAAACACTGATCAACTGAATTTCACACAAAATTATCCAAATCAAAAAACACCAAAACAAATGCAAGAAGCTCACAAGATTGGAAATTCATCCCAGAAAACGGAGAGGAGGAAGGGTACCTGGTACACGAAGGGCTGAAACGGCGTCGAAAAGAACGGGGCCGCCATGGGAAGGGAAACGAATCCGCCGGCGCAGAGTGGGAGATACGGTTCGGGAGAGAGATCGAAGAACAGAGATTCCCTTATGCCGCCATTAACGTTGTTTCAGATCGACCTCCGAGCTGGGTTAATAAATTTTCGTATTGTTTCCGGGGGGTTTTGGTTCTTCTTCCTCTTTATTCTTTTTCGGTGCTTGTATTCTCGATCGCGAAAAAGCCCCTGGTTTTGAGGTGAAATTACCAAATGAGGACGCCGCGTTGTTCCTGTTCAATGTCAAAACGCAGAGGGCAGTTTGGTAAAGTTGTGATAATATTAAATAACTGGAGTACTCCGTAATTTTCAAACTATCATGCGGTGCCTTGTTGTTTTTTATTGGTCGGAGTACACGTCAGAGATTGATGACGTGGCTTCATATAATTGGCTAAAGCCTCTCCGTCGGACGTGGTTTTTGTCAAAAGCTTCGGATGAGAAATTGTCGGACCAGCCCATAAAATAAGATAAGTGGAGTAAGATAAAAAAAATCACGTAAAATATAATAATTATTTTCATAATAAAAACTTTATATTTTTATCTCAAATAGAAATATGTACTGTGATATTATAGCACTGTATGGTATTATATACTGATTTATTCGCATTGTAACTCCTATTTTGCGATTAAAAAAATGGAGATCTTTTTTTGATACTTTTTTCATGTTTTACATTTAGCTTAGTATTTTTCTTTAAAATAAATTTGGGTGCCGTTAGACTTAGGGGTGTTCAAAATATCTGGTCCGAAAAATTGATTTACAATTTGGTCCAATTTGATCTAAAAAAATGGATATCTGAATCAGTTTTTCAGCTCTCGGATATTTTGGAATGCTTATTGGAAAAAGACTGGATCGAATATGGAATAAAATATTAAGATCTATATTTAAAAAATAAATATAAAAACTAAACTTAAACAACATAAGCTTAATTCATTTCTATCAAAACAATTTCCTAAATCTAAGTCCTATTCAAATTTTTGTATATTTTTCATTTTTCCATGCCTTATTTATGTGGATGTTTTTCTAGAAATTTATAAAATTACGATTTAAATAAAACTCTTAAGGCAATATGACATTTAAAACACTTTTGATTCTAAATTTAATGCTTATGTTGAGCTCCACTATTTACAAATAAAAAATGATCCCATATAGTTTTTAGAATCATTTAAAAGTATTAATTCTTAAATAAAAATTTATTTCAGATATTGTACGGATTTAATCTGAAATTACATATATCTAAAAATTGGATTCACCTCATTGTCTAGAAAAAGATTTAGAGGGTCAAGATCTTTCATATGAAAATCTCTATGGATGGGTGTATTCCACCCAGAACCGGTCAAGGAATGCGCCCAAATATCCAACCAGTCAAGGTTGATTTTTCGGAATGAGAGGCCTAAAACAACAGCAAAAAGGTGATTGGTTGACCAAAGGATTGACCGGTATACTTTGGAAAGTCTACCGGTCAAACTACTTTATTCCCTCATTCATCTCCAATTTTAGTAAACTCATCCCTCGGGAATCACCCGGTATGATTTCTACTGTGGGAAAGTGTCGGCAAGGAAGAATCCAAAAGGAATTGGACTGTAGCGGCCAAATTCAACGGAGAATCGTTGGTGATACTTGGACAATCCGTCCAAAATACTACATGACAAGGAAGCTACCTTCCTCACTAGGCGACAAAACCGCTAGAGGACAAAGGCAGTCACCTCGCACCACCTCGGAATGTGCCCTGACGTGGATGCGCGACGCCTTGTCTCCTCTAGCTCACTATAAATACATGTGTAACCCTCAAAGAAGGGGATCCGATTTCTTCTCACTAAAAACTCCTGTGTAAAAGATCCCGTGCACTCTACTATATTCAAATATTATTTGGCCTACAGGTGTTTCCACCTACAGTCCTCCCGGTTACTTTGTGTGTTTTACATTTTTACTTTCCTGAATCTAGTAAACAATTCTAGACCCGGTCTAGTACTGTTTACCCGAATGGGTAATTCACACCATCATCTGTGCATAGCATGAATGGCCTCACAAATAAGAATGATGAGCTGACATTTATAAAAATGTTGTGTCAGTTATGATAATGTGATCTACATAGACAAGAATGTTATTTGTACCTCGTGGCTTGTGCAAGGTAAAAAAATCTTGTATCATGAGTGCATGAAGGAAAGCCAAATCATTAAAGAAAGAGGGAGAGATGAGTATACCATATAAGTAGAGTTTTTTGAGACAATAAAGAGACTTAGACAACTTACAAACCTGATCTTGATACCGTTGATCAATATCCGATGGTTGACGAAAAGTGTTGGAAACATCGAACTGATAAAATGGTCAGCTATAATGAAGAGAAAGAAGATCATTAGACGCATGATTTGTTACTTAACCACTGTCACTAGACTGAACTTTTCAAAATATTCTACCATACGTTCCTGATTGTAGCATTTAGCAACCGGACATGCCTTATACTCAGAAATAATCTTATCTACACCCAATGTGTGTATGACTTGCTTGAGGAAGCATTAAGTCTTTTATTTTTTATTCTGACAATACACAAGATTCATTATCCACAGCAAGAGGCCAATACTGAATACTTGTTATGGAAAGCTTGTTTGTATGTGGTAAGCTCTATTAGGGACAGGGGTGGAGATGTGGTGTTGGTAGGGATGATTGAGGGATATGTTCTTGGTTTTAAAATAACTGCTTTGGAGTAGCTTTTCATGGGATGTGCATTTTAGGTGTGCAATGTGGTTATGTTCACTTGCGAAGAAGGAATTAAAGAAATTATGTGCGCATTGGAAATTAAAATGGTGGAAGTGATTTGTTGTGTTGGCGGCATGGTTATCAAGTCATTGCCTAATCACCAATTGCACGTTAAGTCAAGCCGTCGTGAACAACTTGCAAGATGATGACTCATTTAATAAAAGTTAAGGTCATGGGTCGGTCGCCTAATCGCCTTTGTTCTCCTAAACCATGGTGGAGTTGACTTGCCCTCAAAAGCCCATTTTTAAATTGTTCAAGTTCTTTAAAAAAACTTGTGTTATGTTTTTCTCATTTCACTATTGTAACCTTCTTACGTCACTCATCGATAGGCCATGTCTTCTTTTAGAATTGGGTGACTAAAGAATAAATGTAGAGATTGTTTGTGGTTGGATCAAAACAACAATATCTTTTGGTAGTGGGGTTATAACCGAAGAAAACACATGATCGAGAACGAGATTGTAGCTTATAGTCCATGTGAGGGCGGAGCCAGAGGTAATTGTGTAGGCTTATGGAGGACTTGATAGGAAGGACCAGACTATGATGACTATGATAAAATATGAAGCCTCAATTGATAATGAGAATTACACTCACTATTTATAGATTTTATGAATTGCAAATACTACACCATAATCCAAAAGTTATATTCTTAAGGCATGTTTTGTTGGAAGGAAAAGAAAAAAAGCACCTCTTGTTTAATTAAAAAAAGGAAACCAAAAGTTTGACTCCAAATGCATTCCTCTCCCCTCATACTTGTCCCCCCCACCCAATTTTGGAAGGAACAAACAGTCCAGCCTTCCATTAGCACTAAGTTAGGAAAAACCGCAAACCGAACTTAAATCAATCGAAACGAGCGAGAAAAAAATCAAACCAAAAAATCGAAACCGAATGTAAAAAAATCGAACTAAACCGTTATTGTTTGATTTCCTTTTTAGTTTCTGCTTTGAAAAACTGAACCGAACCGAAAAAATCAAACTTTGTTACGTATTTCGCTTTATGTATATGAGTATATGTGATATACGAAAAAATCATAAAAATATAAATGCAAATAACTAATTAGTCTATTAAAGTTATTTTTCTTAACTATTAAATATTTTAAATCATATTATAAACTTTAAAAAACCTAAAAATTCAAACACAAATAACTAATCCTAATACAAATTATATTAATGTTAAAAATTGATACATGTAATTTACGTATTTACATGAAAAAATTTGATGTTATAATGAAAATAAAAGTATTATACCAAAAAAATATAAATTCTCCGTAATTGATGTTTATATATGAAGTTTTCGAAGTATTTGGAATTCCCTAGATGTTTGTTGGGCATTCGACACATATTTTTTACATAAAACTGAACCGAAACGAACACTAACTTGTTGCTTAGTTTTTTGTTTTGAATAAAAATCGAACCAAAAAACTGAATCTAGCCCCACATATTTTAATTGCTGGCTTCATCGAGATTGTGTTGTTTCAACTTTTTTAATACATATAGATATTTATTTTAAATCACCGAAAAAAATCAAAATAAAACCCGCATAAAATCAAACTAAACAAGGATTTATATATATTTTTGGCGTGAAATCAAATCCAAAAACCATCTTACTTTTTTTTTTTGTTAGTTTTGGATGAAAATAGATCAGCCAAAACCGAAGCCACTTGTACCTTGCCTATGTTTCTTCTTCTCCAATTGAAGAATTTGATACGAATGTTATGAATCTTACTGGGACATCATCCATCTGAGCTAACCTCAAATACAAGAAACCTACCCCAAATCAATTGGCCAGCGCTTCGTCTCCGCCCAGAGGCACACAACGATCATCCATTACTGCATCTTAAGGTTTTCTCCATCTAATTCAGCTCCAACGAAACCTCTCATTTACAATATCAGTTTCTTTTTTGTTTTTGTTTCTTTATCTTTCCTCCCCCCAACCAAACGGGCCCTTAGAGTTGTTATTGTTAATTTATTACTACTCCTTGCAAAATAATGTCAAAAATTAATGATTTATTTATCATCACTCATGTTTTAGGTAATGGTGTAATATTCCTGCCCAAAGAAAGAGCCTTGAACAGTTGGTTCTTTTTGTTCAGGCAAAAAAGAGAGTTCTTTATAAAAACAATTTAAATGTTACTCTATGTGGCTCAAAAAGATGTGCCTAATTTGACTGAACACAATAGGCACAACATTTGATAAAATGAAAACCGCACGGTTAAGATTAATGCAAACGAGAGAAAAAGAATATGAACATTTTTCAATGAATGGAAACACACGTTAAATTGGGACGGGCTAAAAAGGAAAACTTACGGACGAGTATAAATTTAGTTAGAAGTAGAACAATAAATAAATTTTAGAAGTATATGTAGTATTCCATACTTTTATGTGGTCGTACCTTGACCATGTAAGATTTAATCGGGTTTGTTCACATATAACCGAATGGGTAATGAGTCGATGTTTGGGTCAGTTAGTATAGAGTCAATTAGTGTGGTGTCGTTTAGTGTGTTTTACATATTTAATTAATTTAAATAAAAAACAATAGGGCAGTTTCTAAAAGGCAGTTATGGGTAGTTTCTATTGTTAATAGGTGTGTTGGTTTGTAATAGTTGTGTTGGTTAGTAAAAGTCATGTTGGTCTGTTCTCTATATATATTTAGTGAACACAAATATTCCTGTACAGTTTTTACATCAATAAAAATTCTATTCTGCATACCAATCTGTTCTTCCTATCAGTTTTCTACAGACCAAACATGTGTTTTGTTGTGATGGAGTAGATATTTAGAAATATCAGTTTTGTTGTTTTCTACAACGGACAATCTAGAGTTTTGGGTAGGTTTGTTGTTTTCGACGTTGAGCCGGGGGTCTCTTTGTAAACAGCCTCTCTACTTTCGAGTAGGGGCAAGGTCTGCGTACACACACCCTCCCCAGACCCTACTCTTGTGGGATTTAACTGGGTTGGTGTTGTTGTTCATTGTCTGATTGCAATTTTTCATCGTCTTATTGTTTTTGTTTTTTTCCCATCATATCCGATGGAGCCAAAGGTTCATAATTTTTTGTTTTTGGGGTATGATGGAGTAAAACAAAATGACTCTTTAAATAGTCTGCAATTTTTTTATAGTGAAGTAGCATTTATGCCATTTAGTCAATGCAACTTTCGATGCTAATCTGTCTACGCTCTATATTTTAAACATAGGGGCAGACTGTGTACATCCAACCCCCCTTACCCCGCAATGGGTTGGAGCCTTTGAGGCACTGGGGTAATGTTGTTGTTTACTGTCTTGATGAAAAATAGGTAGTATGATGTTATTATGTTGTTCTGGAAGAATTTTCGTGTTCTCTTCACGCTAAGCATGGACAAGTGCTGCTCTCGTTAGATGTGTGCTTTAACTTTATTAGGGGTCATAATGGACTTCGAGTTAATTCAAATCTTTCTATCTTATTTTGTTGAGAAGGTTGGCACTTCATTGCTCAACTTGGGGCACTTGTTGATGAAGGGGAAGTCTTAGGGAACAATACACATTCTAATGTTCAAAATGAACTCAAGAAAGATACGTTTGGTCGGAGCTATTCTTGCAGTTGTTTGTGTTATATATCAAACTTATATGCTTTCTTTCCAATTGACCGGGTGGGTTGTTCACCCTTCTGAGAGATTTTTATCTATTAAGAATCATGAGATGGATTTGGAGAATAATATGAATGTTCTTCTGGGGAATGTTGACCATTTGGAGGCTCTTCATCATGTCCAGTTGGCCGTTCCATATAATTCTTCTGCCAGTCATAATCTATCTGAGAATTTTTTGAAAACAGATGAAAAGATTGCTCATATAAGAAACAGGAGGCATATTGAGCCTCCTTTTGTACCTTCTCATATTCCCGTTCGAAACATGTCTGATCACATGCTGGTGCGTTTTCCAATTTTTTTGTTATGCTAATAGAAATGTTCCGCGTCTCTCATCGTATTATTCCTTTTTAAAATATACTTGTAAGTTGTGCAGAGATATATCACATTATTGACACCTGATGAAGAACTTGCATATGCTAAAAAGGAGCTTCAGAATGCCCCATTGGTTACTGATGATCCAGATTTGTATGCCCCCCTGTTCAGGAATGTTTCTACTTTTAAGAGGTATGTGTAGAATGTTTTGTTGTATTGCAAATTCTAATACTCGTATCTAGCATAATGCTATACTATGAATACAGGGCATATGTAACTAGTTGGATATGTTTATTTCTTCAATACTTGGACTTTGCATTTCACATATCTTATACTCCCTTTGTCCCACTATTTTTGTTTACTTTTACCTCTTCCATATCATTATTTTGGCTTATACCATATTTAGGCCATGTTCTATTCAATAAATTCTTATTACTTATTACTCCCTCTGTCCCTCCAGGTTCTTCCATGGTACTATTCACAGGGTCAAACTTTATTTACTTGTTTTCGTTGCCAATTTGGTAAAATAATATAGTAATGTCACCTCTAGTTTTGAAGATCTTTTGATGTAGTTTTTAAATATATACACCAATTTTAGTATAAAATGAATTTAAAATAACTACAGTCAAACATTATAACGCAAACTAGGAAGAACCTGAAGGGACAGAGGGACTACTTTTTTCTTATTGGAGTCAGTTTAGTTCAGATCAGACTAGACCAGATCAGGCATAACTTATTTTAATTAGATCAGAACCATTCTGATTAGGTCAAGAGAACATGGCCTTAGTAATGCTTGTGTGACTCACAATCAAGGCTTGTTTTTTTGGTCTTTATTTTAAGTTTTTAACTAGAGTCTGGGTAGATGAGTAGATTAAACATACAAATAAATCCAATTAGATTTTAACTGGAAACTTCAGAGTTTTGGAGTAGATTAAATTATTAAGATATCCTATAAAAATGAACGCTTTAACTGGTAACTGGAGCTTGAGGCCCGGGGCCTGGAATAAGAAATTGAAAAGAATATGGCATCAACCTTACTGTTTCTTACTTTTTAGCATCAATATCAAGTTATCAACCACACAATTCTACTTCTCTTAATTTCCGTGCCACCACTCATGTCCCAAAGATAATGCGACCGAGGGAGTATTTTTTTCTCATTACATTTGATCAAGTTGAAATGTCAAACTATCCCTCTAGCTATTGGAATATACTGAAATGTATTGGAAGGAGTAATATGATACTAGCTTGGTAAATTTCTATCATGGGACTTACTGTAGTATTTTGCTAGGTGTGGGGTGGGCCAATCAAATTGATTATACAAATTTGATTTGAATTTAAAATTGTTTTTTGCAGGGTTTTCCTCTTTATAGAGAGACTAATTTGAAATTTATGTTTTCTTTTTCACATAACTCTAGGTGTATCGCCCACAACATTTATCCACCTTAATTATCTATATAGTGACAATACGTGATTGAGAATCTGCTCTAAGCATCTTATAACTTTGTAAGGAGCTAGATAGTAGCTTTATGTCTATCTATCCTAACACTTGTAGAATTTTGCTTGGTGCCTACCAAATTCATCCAAGTTTGAGCTTGTATTTAATTATTTCAAAATGGAGCTAAAAGAGCCAATTTTGACTATATTTTAGCTTCTAGTAAATAAGGGATTAAATCATAATGGCACACAATAAACTACCCTTGCTATGTTTGATGGAGTATTGGGCGGTAAATGCACCAAATGCATCAAAGGGTCTAACAGCAACAAGCGTCTCTGATTTTTACAAATATAAGGTTGTTTTCATCTTGACCTCTAGCCCCCAACGCAGGGTTGGAATTATACTGGGTTTGTAGTTGTTTTTATTTGATGCTTGTTTGGAGGTTCCTCTTGTTTCATACCTTACAAAAAATACATCAAGTAGTTTGAATGCAAAATGAAGCATCTGAAGTAGACATAAGATTTCTGTAAAATGCACACTAAAGTGAGGAATAAGTCCTCTTTCCTAAGTCCTAACTAACAAACTGTTAAATGCTTGTTGATTTTGAAGTGATGAATTAGTCCCTGACTCTCTGTTTAATCACTATGGGAATTCATGTGGGTTCTTGGACTTAAGGAAGATGATTTATGTTTCCAACTTTCTTTGCAGCAACTAAAAGAATATGGGCCTGGACATGTTTCTTCACCACTAATTCAATTGATTTTTAATCTCTAGGGAAGGATGTTATACACATGCCTTTCATAATAGTTATCTGGCATTGAAATGTGTGTTCTATTCAAATTTTTAGGAGCTATCAATTAATGGAGCTTATACTGAGAGTTTACATTTACAAAGAAGGAAAGAGACCAATTTTCCATCACCCTTATCTTAGAGGGATTTATTCATCTGAAGGATGGTTCATGAAGCATATGGAGGAAAACAGTCAATTTGTTACGAAGGACCCCAAAAAGGCTCACCTCTTCTATCTTCCATACAGTGTTAGACAGTTGCAGAGAGTTCTTTATGTACCCAATTCGCATAACCTTAGGCCTTTATCTTCATTTCTACGGGATTATGTGAATGTTCTTGCTGCAAAGTATCCATTTTGGAATCACACACATGGATCAGATCACTTTATGGTGGCTTGCCATGATTGGGTATACTAAAGAATCCACATATACATGCATTCTTTATCCAGTGCGGCTGTTTTTTCCATCCTTCAAAGTGTTTTTTTTCACTTTTGCACCCTTTTTGTGCTCACCGGCTATTCTTCATTGTGTATTCTCTGCAGGGACCTTATACTTTGAAGGATCACCCCGAACTGCTTAAAAACACAATAAAGGCTCTGTGCAATGCAGATCATTCTGAAGGAATATTTGTATCTGGAAAGGATGTTTCCTTGCCAGAAACCACCATAAAGAATCCCAGAAGGCCCCTAAGGAACCTTGGTGGAAAAAGAGTTTCACAGCGTGCCATTCTTGCCTTTTTTGCTGGACATGTGCATGGCAGGGTTCGTCCCAGGCTTATAAAGTATTGGAGCGACAAGGATGAAAGCATAAAGATCTATGCGGTTTTACCTAACAGTGTGTCAAAGACAATGAGTTATGCCGAACATATGAAATCAAGTAAATATTGCATATGTCCAATGGGGTTTGAAGTGAATAGCCCGAGGATCGTTGAGGCAATATATTATGAGTGTGTCCCTGTGATAATTGCTGACAATCTTGTCCTTCCATTCAATGAAGTTCTCAACTGGACTGCATTTTCAGTGAATATTGCTGAAAAAGATATTCCTAAACTGAAAGATATCCTACTAGGCATTCCTATGAATCACTATCTTACCATGCAAAATAATGTCAAAAAGTTGCAGAAGCATTTCCTCTGGAACTCAAGACCAACTAGATATGATTTATTCCACATGATTCTACATTCACTATGGTTAAGTAGGCTTAACCATTCACAGATAGCACATCAGTCATGATATTTTTAGCTATCTGGCCCGAATTTCTGATTTACGCATGTTAAGTGGTTGTGGATGTGAGCAAGCTAAAGTTTAGTTCTAGTTGGCATCGCATGTATCTTCAGTCTTCACTCAAATGAGGAAGGGTTTCTAATCTTCCAAAGAAGGGTTGATTAATAGTCCTAGGCCTTGCTTAAAGCATGTCATATTATATCAGGTACAATGCAAGTATTCCTTTCAAGGGTTTTTCTTACTGCTAGTTTTAACCTTTGGTATGAAAACATCAACTCTTCTGTTGATATGGAAAAGTTTGTGCTTTATCTCATAGTATGTGGGGTGTGATTGCATTCTATTAAAGCATTCATCTTAAGTTTGTAAAAATTTATCAGATCCCTGAAGTCTCCTTAGTTCTTACTGAACTTGTTGATTCTGATATGTTCAAAGAATGTTCCTTGTTGTTGATTCTCAGTCTTACGGTGAGTAATTATAACAAAAGAATTAATCAATTCTATGTTCAATAATATGCAGGTAGATGTGTTAAGCCATGATGATTGCTACCCAATATAGTGTTTTGTCAGCCACCAGATCAACCCAATGAATGCAGATTACCACTATTTGACTGTATATTTGATTCTTTATTCACTTTTTTGTTTGATCTACTAGTGGGACCCACCCTCCTCAAACCCCACACGCGTGGGATGTTACTGTTTGTCAAGTGAAGATTTCTTTCGCTCCGCTTTTGGAAGGATTTACCACGGCTTTCTCAGGGATTTGTATAGATTAGTCTTTAATTGACCAAAGTCTAGAGCAGATACTATACCTTGCACATTGTATCATTGCACACTATACATAAGGATTTCTGAGTTCTTGAACCAGCTCCATACAAGGAGAAATAATTGAAAATGGTTTGTCCTTCATGCATATTCTTTTTGTGCTCAGTTTCTTCACAGTGTATTTACTACCATAGTTTTACAGGTGGGCATTTTGGGGATTCATTTCCCTGTATCTTACAAGTTGGCATCTATGGATTTCCTTGATTGAGATCAGAAATACTTGTCCACCCATTCTGTGTCATATGCTCCTTCAAAGGAGAAGTCAAAGAATTCATTTACATCAAAGTTCAGCTCGGGATCCTCGCTTTGTTCTTTACCTCCCAGTTCTATTTCGGCATTGGACACGACTTTCTTGGCCATTTCCTCTCGCGGTGCCGAAGAAGAAGATGATGATGATGGTTTTTCAACTTTCCCAAATTTTTTGCTCAGGTGAGAGTTCCAATAGTTCTTTATTTCATTGTCCGTTCGCCCCGGAAGCCTTCCAGCTATCAAAGACCACCTATGGAAGAAGTCATAAACACATTGTCATCATTCTCCTGAACAGTTTCTTTGGCAAGTAATCTAGGGATCGTTTGGAAGAGAAAACGTTATCGGTATAAATAGTCTCTATGATCTTCCATGAGTAGGTAAATAGTTCTTGTACTTTTAAAAGTTGTGAAATAGGCTGTATGGTCAGAGAACTGTCTTATAATTAGCCTTTTATTTAGGGAAAATGTGAAGCATGCATAAAACACGCATACTGTGCAACATGTAGCAAAATAAAGAAGGTAGTTTGAAGAGATTATTCTTTGTCTTCGTGGTTAAAAGTCGAGAAGAGTCTTTTTCCACCACTTAGAACACACGAAATTACTCTAAAATAAAGTTAATTGAAAATCGAAATAAGGTCAGTTTATTTTGAAGATTGTACTACTGCTCTAGAAAAATCAGTATGGAATACATGAAGAAGTTGTGAGAATTGAACTAAAAGATAAAAGACATTGTATTACGGTTCAAACTTACACATCATGATCCAAACTCTAGATCAAAAGATAATATGCACGTACACTGTGTGCATCATGTTTTCCTTAAAAAAAGACTAAGGTCATGATGTTCTTTTGGGTTGGGAAAATTAACTACCAACTTCATCCAACTTCTTTCAATTTCTTTCATTTTCTTCCAACGACTTAAAAAGGTATTGGTATATGGTTATTATAAAAGGAGTAACATTATATATCTAAATATATAACATATAATCTCAAACACATACAATGATGAATTATTTTTTATCCAAAAATAAAATTTTCATACGTATTTGGATGATAATTTAATTGAGTGACTTTTTAATACTTAATTTTTTCCAACACTTTCCAACTCCTTCCACGTTTTTTCAACTCCTTATAGTTTCTTCCAAGTCTTTCCAGTATCTTCTAATGTCCAACTTTAAAATTCTAATTCAAAAGAACATAACCTAATTATGCAACAGTTCTTTGACCACAGTGACTCTCTCATACTCCCTTCATCTCTAAAAAAAAGTTTTTGTTTCATTTTTTATACATCTCATAAAATATTTCTACTTCATTTAAAATATCTAAAATATTCCTAACACAACTTCTACCCGTAATAAAGAAGAAATGATACAAATCTTAGACATTATAAATATGGATAGATAGAAGTATATTTAGGGATGTGCAAAAAATGAAACTTTTTTTGGAGACGGAGGGAGTAACTTTTTAAAAATCTGGGGATTATTTACCCAGAAAATTACTTACGATTGATGTGAGTTTTGTCGAAATAACTCTCAAGTTCCTCTATTTTCAAGAAGACAACAAAGGTCTTTACATTTTGTTGTAATGATTGAGAGGAGACATTTCTTCCAATATTTCATCCATAAGCGTTAATAAATGCATTTTTCCTATTTTTCCATTACTCAGTTTTTGCTTTTTTAGAAATTTTTTTATTACATTTATTTTATATCATACACAAAATTTTGAATTTGTATACGATTTTATTGAAGAAATTCTAAAAAATACTTTAAAAAAGAGTAACAAAAAAGAAAAACAAAGAAATAAAAAAGGAGCGACCTTAGAGTTATTACCATTAAACATTAAGGAAAAAAGTACATTTATTAACGTTTATGGATGAAATATTGGATAGAATATCTCCTCCCAGTCACTACAAAAAATGTAAGGATTTCTGCTGTCTTCTTAAAAATAGAGGACCTGAAAGTTATTTTGACAAAAATTGTGTAACCCATGAGTAATTTTCTGCTATTTACCGGCATATGGAACACACCAGTGTTTAAACAAAATAACTCAAACATGATACCAAAATGTTACCAAATGAATCTAGCATCAACATTTACATGAATTTATAATGTTAACTTATACTCCCTCCGTCTCGGAAAATTTTTCCGGTTTTGACTTTTGAGAAGGGAAGATATACAAGTTTGACCAAGGCGAAACGACGACAATTGGAACAAGTTGGGCTCGAGAAATATCAAAATGGGTAAATCATAGAAATTAGTTGAGGTACGTTCGGTTAGATTTAAGAAACGTAAGGTCCATTGTGTCCATTTAAACAAAATTGAAATATATTATGGAACGGATAAGAAGTGAAAGTTGAAAGATTTTAACACTAATTCTAGAATAACTAGGAGAAGACAATGCTGATGATATCTATATAGTTTACTTGCCTGTTTCCTAGTAGTTTATGAAGCCTAAGTATCAAGTCAGCTTCGTCTTCACCAATGTTTCCTCTCTTTATGTTCGGACTCAGGTAATTCAACCACCTCAGCCTACAGCTCTTCCCACATCTATTCAAACCTAAAAGAGCAAAAAGTCCATCAAATTGCATTTTTTCTAACACTAGGTTTGGTTTGAAGAATTTTAAATGGAAAAAAACAAAAGAAAATGAGATTGAAACAGTTTTTCATGTTTGAATTGGTTAGAGAGAAAAAAGGAAGAAAAAAACTGAAAGGAAAAAAAAATGAAAAGCCAAAACGGATTAAGAGAAGGAAAAACTAAATTTTTCAGACGAATTTACTTAAATAATTCTAAATATAGCGATTTTCTCGATGTAATACCATATGTTTTTATTTCTTAATCTAGTATCACTGACCATTGTTCAAGTAAATATCTACTGCCACTTGACATTGTTTAAACTAAATGTCCACCATCACTCGACATTGTTCCCGCTACTAGACATTATTCAAATACTATTTAGAGAATAAAAACTTTTAAATACTACATTGGAAATGACATATACTCCGTATATGTTTTAGTACTATTTAGTGCAAATTTCATAATTTTTCATACTTTGCTAAGAAAAATGAAAGAATTGGAATACAACTCCCCCTGTCTCATATTTTTCTTTTCATTTTGACTTTCTTGATCATTTTTAAATTTTGACCATAAATTATACTCCTCCCGTTTTTAAAAAATTTCTTGTTTCATTTTTTGCGCATCTCATAAAACATTCATACTCCATCTAAAATATTTAAAATACTGCCAAAATCACTTCTATCCATAGTAAAGGAGAAATAGGGTGAATCTTGGACATTATAGATATATATAGAAGTATAATCAGGGACGCGCAAAAAATGAAACAAGAATGTTTTTTAGAGACGGGGTAGTATAATTACACGGAGTACTGAATTATGAAACTAATTAATTTAATATCAATATATCATTTCTACACATATTTTTGAAATATCATATTTTTATAATCTATAAATATATACAAATAGTGATATCAATGGCCAAAATGTTACGGAGTACATTGGAGACCGTAAAAAATTAAATGAGAAAAAAGATATTGGACAGAGGGAGTATTTCCTTTTCTTTTTTTCTTTTGCTTCCAAAGGTCCTTGAAACATGGTGTAAAGGCTAAGGAAGAAAGAAGACCTGATTTTTGCGCCACGGATTTCCATTTCGTAGCGCCGTTCTTCGTTATGTACTCGGTGAGTTTCTTGTCTTCTTCGGCTGTCCATGACCCTTTATTTCTTGGAGATCCACACTTTCTTGATGGAGCCATATATGAAATGGTAGCACTGGCTGGCTAGCTAAGATCAGGTATTAAAACAAAGGATATAAAACTGGCCTGGTTGGTTGTGGTTTTAAGAGGTGAATATAATGTGATTGTTCTTTATGTATACTACTTTGGAAGGAAATAAGTATAGCATTTGATGAGATTTGTGAATATATATATATATATATATATATATATATATATATATATATATATATATATATATATATATATATATATATATATATATATAT